TCTTCCGATCCTTTGAAAAATATTCTTTAAAAAAAAAAAACACATTTAATTATCTTCCGAATCTTTTAAAAATATTCTTTAAAAATTTACCTTTAACGAGGTTCTGGTTCCTTGAAAAATATTCCTTAAAGTCCACGTTTAAAGATCTTCAGGTCCCTTGAAAAATATTCCTTAAAATCCACGTTTAAAGATCTTTAGGTCCTTTGAAAAATATTCGTTAAAAATCCACGTTTAGGGCTTTTCAGGTCCTTTAAAAATTTCTTTAAAAATCCACGACATGGTTCTTCAGAGGTCCTTTGGAAAATATTCTTCAAAAATCCTTGTAAGGATCTTCAAGTCCTCTGGGAATTATTCTTTAAAAATCCTTTTAAGGATCTTCAGGTCTTTTGGGAAGTATTCTTTAAAAATTTACGTTTAAGGATCTTTAGGTTCTTTAAAATTTTTTCTCTAAAAATCTACGTTTAAAGATCTTCAGATCTTTTTTATGATCCATGTTTAAGGATCTACAGGTCCTTTAAAAATATTATTTTAAAATCCACAGTTCTTTAAAAACCACGTTTAAGGAGCTTCAGGTTTTTTGCTTTACAAAATACTTTGTAAAAATCCACATTTAGACACCAATTTTCCTTGACAAATGTTGTATTTTTTTTAATCCAGGACCTCAAGAGCCCTTTGAGCATTTCAAGTCTTCAGGAATTTTTTTCTTTAAAAATCAGATTTTTTAGTTCGTAAGATCCCTGAAATATTCCGTAAAAAGTCTAAGTTTATGACTCTTTTGGTTCTTGACAAATGTCTCTCAAATTTATATGCTATAGCTTTTCTATAAAGAAAAGTCCTTTTAAACCTTTTACCATTTAAATCATCATTGCCTAATACTTTATGCTAACCTCAACCATTTGTTTTTTCTCTTCTTTCTATTTCCAGGTAATTTATGGTCCTTCTATTGTCTGGGCGCCTCTTTCTTTGAAAAGTGAGCTACACAATTTGAACTTATAAATTATTGATTTTTTGCTGATGGTAATTCCTTTGACAAAATGTACTTATCGAGTCCTTTGAATAGTTTTCTTTTGTAATATTTCCTGCCAAACTCTGCAGGCTTTCGTTCGACGTTCATTTACATTATGATTTAAGCTCTTTGTTGCTGTTCTACATCAACGAATGCAGGCAGTGCTGGACAGGGTCTGAGATGACAACCATACAGAAAATGGACAAGAAAAACTATTTGCTGTTTGTTGGTCCAGAGGGTGGCGGGAGAAGAGAAATGATGATGCCACACAGTCAACAATCAAGAAGAGAAAAGAAAAATAATAGCCAAAGGACTTTTTATGGGTTTGGTCGAGGAGAGTACCTACGGGAAAAATCCTCAATTCATCGAAACTGGCATTTATTCTGGACAAGCACAAGTTGTACATCCGAAATCATATTTTGTTCCTCTTTTCTCCACACTCAACCCCTCCTCTGGCTGATCACTACTTTGTCCCCCAATTTGTTGTTGTTTTTCGTTTTGTTTTGGAATTGCCCTGATTTTAGTTTACGTGTTCGTTTGGGGTTTTCATTTTTTTAAAAAACTTTTTTAGGGAACATTTTTTGCCATTGGAACGAATAAATGAGGAAACCAGGACAAGATACAACTACGGCATTCATCAAAAACCCCAAATCAGAGAAAAAAAAATTACTTTTACTAACTTTCCATTAAAATTCAGGATATGTCCCTGATATGCGGCTTATGTTCGGTTTGCTGGACAAGAAAGGATGAGGGAGAGGTGAAAGAAGTCTATTTTTTGAAGGGCTCAAAATTATTACGAAATGATCCATTTTCACACCAGATCTCGTGTTGGTGCAGACATTGAGATGAACCGAATTTCAAGGGAAACGGATGCTAATATTGCGTTTTATGGGTGTCATGGTTATCCAAAATGTTGAACCGTTGTGGGGCAGATACTTGATAGAGTGGGCCGATATTGTACATTTCCGCACCTGACCTGACCTGACTTGGCATTGATTTTTTTCTATTCTATGAGATACATCCATTTCTGTAACAATGTTAAGGTTTTGTGTGGGAGGTACCAGATGTGGTGAACCTATAATGCCCATTTTCGAACTCCATCGGTATATATAAAAGAGTAATGAAATAACGGAATGGCCGAGAATCACCGCCCAGATGAAATGGCAGATACTAGAATCTCCAAATTTTGCACTCAGATCAGCCTTGGTGCTAAGGCTGGGTTTTTGGAAAATCGTGCTGGAAGGATACGAAAAGTACTAAAATGTACTAAATATTGAATACTTCGTAGTAAACAAACGGAATGACCTAGAATTGAAATGAGAGTCAGTGGTGGAGTGGAGGATATATGTACCAAAGGGTTTTTGAAAATTCAAATTTTAACGCTACGAAAAGTTCAAAAGTGGTACTAAACTTGTAAAATGGTACCATTTTAGTATTATATGAACGGATTGATCTAAAAACTTGAAATTTGGTATGGGAATCAAGGTTGGAAAGTAAGTTTGAGATATGAAGGTGGTTTTGGAAATGTGTACTAGAAGTGTACGAAAGGTACTTAATAGTACGATATTAAGTACAAGTTTGTATTGAGTGAAAGGATGAAGCTGAAATTTAGAAATTCTGTATTGCGGTACCTGTTGTTGGTAGGTTTTTGATAATTGTACGAAAAATACTGAATTGTACTATATATGGTATGGGTTAAAGGGATAGAGATAAAAGTCCGAAATTTGATACTTAGATTACTAATGGTATCTGTGTTTGAGATTTGAAAGTGGTTTAAAAATACGTGCTATATTTGTAAGAAAAGTACTAAATGGTACTAAATATGGTATATGGTAAAGGGATAGAGCTAGAATCCTCAAATTTAAAATTGAGGCCTCTGTAGGTATCGATTATTGAGATATGTAGGTGGTTTTGAAAATGTGTACTACTAGTGCACGAAAAGTACTAAATAGTAAAATATTTGGTACAATTTGGTATTGGGTTTTGAGATTTGGCATGTGTTTCGGATACCCGTCTTGGTTTTGTGCGAAAAGTACTAAATGATACTATATTTGGTATCGGGTGAAGGGATAGACCTGGAATAGCGAAATTTTTAAATTAAGGTCTTTGTTTGAATTCAGATATAAACGTGATTTCGGAAATGAGTGCTATAATTGTACGAAAAGTACAAAGTAGTAATAAATTTGATATTGGGTGAAGATATAGGGATTAATTTGACATTTACGTCTTTGTTGGTGTCTGTGGTTAAGGTATGAAGGTGGTTTTGGTAAATTAAAGAGCTGAAATCCTAAAATTTGATTTTAAGGTCACTGAAGGTTGAATATGAGGTTGAGATATAAGCATTATTTTGTAAATTCGTACTATAATTATTAATAAATGTTATTATTTTTGGATTACCCATGGTTTAGGTTGGAGAGATGTAGATTGTTTTGGATATGCGTACTAAATGTTACTAAATTTCTGAAATCTTAAAGTTTGATATTGTGGTCGCTATTGATTTCTAGTGGAGATTTTGAAGTGGAGGTTTTCATATGGAGATTTTGAAATAGTTTTGGACAGAAAAACTCAGTGCAGGTCCATTGTGCAATGCCTTACCTAATATCCTCCTTGGTAAACTCCAAATTGAGAGATTTTGAAAACTTTTTCGATTATTCTTTACGAAAAAGAAACTAGTAAAAAAGCTGTAAGTTCGGCCGGGCCGAACTTTGAATACCCTCCACCATTTGGAACGAGATTGGCAATTTTCAAAAAACAAAAAAAAAAATCCTTTAAAAAAATGTTAAAATTTTAAAAATAGCGAATGTCGCCGTTATTTTAGGGTCTATACGACGACGTGGACCTGCATAGGTAGCTTTTGTCATAAGCCATTGCAATATTTAAATGCGAAACTTAAAAAGAATCCGTGAATAATGTACAAAATAAAAATACCGAATATAGGGAGGTACCGTTATATGTGGGCTATAAGAAGACCTGGACCTGCACAGACAATTTTCTGTCATAGGCTTCAATAGCCAAATTTGAAACAATTCCGGTGAATAATGTCACTAAAATCATGAAAATGCCGAATATCGGGAGGTACCGTTATATGGGAGCTATACAAAGACCTGGACCTGCACAGACAATTTTCTGTCATAGGCTGAAGTATCCATTACGAACTTCAAATATCAAATTTGAAATAGTTGCGATGAATAATGTCGCTAAAATCTTTAAAATATGGAAAATCGAAAGGTTATATGGGAGCTAAACGAAGACGTGGACCTGCATAGATAATTTTCTGTCTAAGGCTGCAGTATAAATTTCGAACTTCAAACACCAAATTTGAAACAGTTGCAATGAATAATGTCGCTAAAATCATTAAATTATCGAATATGGGGGCTATACGAACTTCAAATAACAAATTTTGAAAATTTTCCGGTAAGGTCTATACCAAAACGTGGACCTACATGGCCCATTTTCAATACCAAAGTCCTGCGAACTTGAGTAAAATTTCATCAACCTACTTCATTTCGTTCGGAAGCTAGAGTGATTACCGCAGACGGAAGGGCTAAATCGTCTTAAAATTTTACACGGATCAAGACTATATATACTTTATTATGTGTAAAATTATTATTTTTATGAGTTGCAAACGGAATGACAAACATAATATACCTTCCATACTATGGTGGAGGGTATTAAAATATGTTCTGAAGTCTGTGGATTTTTTTTTAAATTTTTGGTTATTTTTTTATTTTTTGTGTATTTTTTTTTAATTATTTGTTCAAGTTTTTTTATTCTTTTCTCATTTTCGAAACTTTTTTCTAATTTGTGGATCTTTTTTAAATATTTGATCCAATTCGGGGATAAATAATTTTGAATCATCATTCGTATTTGTATTCAAAGCCTCATCTACCATAATACCTTTTCATTGTATAGGTAATTTTCGGTTATTGTGTGCTTTTTCCATTGAAACATGAGAAATCGGATTTTCTTCAAATTTAAGCTTCAAAAAAAGAAGATGGGAAATAACAGCATTAATCGAGTTGATGATGACGATGAGGTTGGGGTAACACATAAAAAGGACTAAATCTTCAATGAAATCCCATTGTTAAGAGTGAATAAGCAAAATTTCCACATGTGATGCTTTGTAAGGCACCCCATGTCAGTATGTGTTTAATTCGTAAAATACACACACACTCAAAAGACAAACATTTATTTTGCTGCCATATATGCTCTCCATCTTCCTTTCCCCACTATCCTAAATTGTTCCCTTTTGGTAAAGGAAAAGTTTTCTGTTTTCTCTCTCAGTCGTTGGCCTTTTCAGTTTTTCTATCGGCTTTTTGAAGAGAATCGAGGGGAGCATATTTTATCAATCCTGGCTAATCAGGCGAGGAGGGGGGGAGGGTGATATCCTGCAGTGTAGCGAATTAAGCAATTATGCTTGAATTTTTCTTTCTTTTAGTTTGTATTTCTAATTATGATATTGTTTGTGTTCCACATTCAATGTTGAATTACCAATGTTTCATTAGCTAAGATAACAATGGAAGGAAATAAAAATAGTCAATTTTGGATATTAATTGAAGGATACTGTGACAGGAAGGGAGATGGGAACATGAAGACCATGTTTAGTTGAGGGTCTATACTCGGATCATTTTCAATTTGTTAGTTATTTTAAAACTAATTACTTCAAATTACTTTTTTCGTGGGGCTATACCGGTTACCCGGTTATTCGACCCGGAAGTTCGAATACAAAAACCGGTTCTACAAACCCGATTTGCACAATATGGCTATCAATAGGAAGCTTATAATTATCTATCCAACAAGTGGTCATCTTCGGAACTACAAGAGATATAAGCGCAATGATCTTCAGGTCCTAAAAAAATATTCTTTAGAAATCTACGTTTAAGGATCTTCAAGTCCTTTGACAAATATTCTTTAGAAATCCACGTTTAAGGATCTTCAAGTCCTTTGACAAATATTCTTTAGAAATCCACGTTTAAGGATCTTCAAGTTCTTTGACAAAAATTCTTTAAAAATTCACGTTTACGGATCTTTAGGTCCTTTTAAGAATTCGCGTTTAATGGTCTTGAATTCCTTTAAAAATATTCTTTAAAAATCACGTTTAAGGATCTTTAGGTACTTTGAAAATAATTTTACCAGTAAGGATCTTCAGGTCCTTTAAAAAATATTCTTAAAAAAATCCACGTGTAAGGGCCCTCAGTTTTGAAAAATATTCTTAAAAAATCCACGTGTAAAAATCCTCAGATCCTGTGAAAAATATTCTTTAAAAATCCACGTTTAAGGATCTTTAGGTCCTTGGAAAAATATTCTTCAAAAATCCAAGTTTAAGGATCTTTAGGTCCTTGGAAAAATATTCTTCAAAAATCCAAGTTTAAGGATCTTTAGGTCCTTGGAAACAGACTCTTTACAAATTTATGTTTATGGATCTTTAGGTCCTTGGAAAAATATTCTTTAAAAATCCACGTTTAAGGATCTATAGGTCCTTGGAAAAATATTCTTTAAAAATCCACGTTTAAGGATCTATAGGTCCTTGGAAAAATATTCTTTAAAAATCCACGTTTAAGGATCTTTAGGTCCTTGGAAAAATATTCTTTAAAAATCTACGTCTAAGGATCATCAGGTCCTTTGAAAAATATTCTTTAAAAATCCACATTTAAGGATCTTCAGGTCCTTTGGCAAATATTCTTTAAAAATCAAGGTTTAAGGATCTTCAGGTCCTTTTAAAAATATTCTTTAAAAATCCACGTTTAAGGATCTTTAGGTCCTTGGAAAAACATTCATTAAAAATCCACGTTTAAGGATCTTTAGGTCCTTGGAAAATATTCTTTAAAAATCCACGTTTAAGGATCTTTAGGTCCTTGGAAAAATATTCTTTAAAAATCCACGTTTAAGCCCCTCCGGGCCCTTCGAAAAATATTCTTTAAAAATCCACGTTTAAGGACCTTTAGGTCCTTTGAAATATATTCTTCAAGGATCTTCAGGTCCTTTGAAAAATATCCCTAAAAATCCACGTTTAAGGATTTTTAGGTCCTTTGAAAAACAAATCCTTAACAAGTTTCTTCAGGTGCTTTGAAAAATATTCTTCAAAAATCGATGTCAGATCCTTTGAGAAATTTAAAAAATTAAAAAAAATCTCCATTGGTCTACGAAAAAGACATCCTTTAAATAATCCAGGATTATTGTTCTATTCCTTAATACCAATCATAATAATCCTTGTTAGAATATCCTTAAAAGGTTGTGACCCCGCTAGTCCTTGATAAACTATTTTTGTCAACACAAGTGTCTAATGAAACTCAAAAATAAACATTTTGTGAATTTCCTTTTAGCCTCTCATTAAAGTGAACTCTGCTTTATTTCGTCCTCTTAAATTTCAAGGCAATCCCCTGACATGTGACAAAAGTGGCATCATAATTGCCACATGGGTTTCTGAAGCCCCATATCTCTCTCTCTCTCCCCCTCTCTCTCGCTCTCTCTCTTGTGTATTGCCATTTTGCTGTGGCTGTGCCTGGGTGGCTGGCGTTTGTGTTGGTGGTGTCACAGCACCAGGACATTGTCAGCGTGAAATGTTATTATCTTTTGAAGTCATCGCCAGCTCACATCCAGTCAAATGGTTAAATGACATTATGGCCGCCGTTGGGAAACCATTCCATATCCAAACGTGGCATATAAAAGACCATACTGTAATCCATCCGCTGTGTCCTTCTGTTGTCTCCCGTCAAACACACACACACACTCCTTTCAAAAGCAACCAATCCAAGTGTAATCGAGCAGGGCACTACTAGAGAGCAACAAGAAATAGAGAGGTGAAGGAGAGGGCGAATTGGCTTTAGTTATCTATGACATTTAAGTGCTCTCTGTTTAATTTCTAATACAATCCTGGCTGGCTGTGAAGATGACAAGACTAATTCTTTGCTAAAATAATGGGGATTTGACTAAAGTTATGGCTAAATATTTCTTTGTGGATTTTTTGTAATTATTATGGACTTTGGATAAGATAAAACTCTGAGGTGTGAGAAGAGAATGTTTTGAAATTTTACACCCAGAAGTAACCTAAATATACGATTATAGTTCTAATGGCTCTTTAATAAAATCCTTAAAAGTCAATATAACAGCTGTGATTGTCCTTGAAAAAATATTCTTTAAAAATCTCACAATTGTCCTTTATATTTTTATATTAATACTTAAAATTACAGTAGATAAAAAAATATTTAAAAAATCCACAAGATCGCTTAAAAAACATTCTTCAAAAAAAAAAAAAAAAAAAACTAAACTTAAAACCACTCTTTAAAAAATCCACGATTTTAGCTCAAATGGCTCTTCAGAAATATCCTTTAAAATAAAATTAAAAATAAAGTTAGTCCTTCATTTTATTAGTCGATGGACCTTAAATTCATTGACAAAATTTTCTTTAAAAATAAGTAAAATAGTCCTTGAAAAAGAAGTACTTTAAAATTCACGATTACGGCTCAAATAGTCGTTTAAAAATGTTCTTTTAGAAATCCACGATTATGGCTCTGATAGTCCTTGAAAATTATTCTTTAAGAAATTCACGATTTTGGCTTTGATAGCCCTTGAAAAGGTTTCTTTAAGAAATTCACGATTTTGGCTTTGATAGCCCTTGAAAAGGTTTCTTTAAGAAATCCAGGATTATGGCTCTGATAGTCCTTTAAATTTTTTCTTTAAAAAATTAAATTAAAATTATTCTTTAAGAAATTCACGATTTTGGCTTTGATAGCCCTTGAAAAGGTTTCTTTAAGAAATCCACGATTATGGCTCTGATAGTCCTTTAAATTTTTTCTTTAAAAAATCCACGATTATGGCTCTGATAGTCCTTTAAATTTTTTCTTTAAAAAATCCACGATTATGGCTTTGATAGTCCTTGAAAAAATTCTTTAAGAAATCCACGATTTTGGCTTTGATAGTCCTTGAAAAATATTCTTTAAGAAATCCACGATTTTGGCTTTGATAGTCCTTGAAAAATATTCTTTAAGAAATCCACGATTTTGGCTCTGATAGTCCTTGAAAAATATTCTTTAAGAAATCCACGATTTTGGCTTTTATAGTCCTTGAAAAATATTCGTTAAGAAATTCACGACTTTGGCTCTGATAGTCCTTCAATATTTTACTTTAAGAAATCCACGATTATGGCTCTTATAGTCCTTGAAAATGTTTCTTTAAGAAATCCACGATTATGGCTCTGATAGTCCTTGAAAAATGTTCTTTAAGAAATCCACGATATGGAATATGACTATCAGAGTCCTAGAAAAATATTCTTTAAGAAATCCACGATATTCTTCTGTTAGTCCTTGAAAAATATTGTTTAAGAAATCAACGATTATGGCTCTGATAGTCCTTGAAAATTTTTCTTTAAGAAATCCACGACTCTGACTTTGATAGTCCTTGAAAAATATTCTTTAAGAAATCCACAATTTCTTCCTCTGATAGTCCTTGAAAATTATTCTTTAATAAATCCACGATTATGGCTCTGATAGTCCTTGAAAATTATTCTTTAATAAATCCACCATTATGGCTCTGATAGTCCTTGAAAAGGTTTCTTTAAGAAATCCACGATTTTGGCTCTGATAGTCCTTGAAATGTTTTCTTTAAAAAATCCACGATTATGGCTCTGATAGTCCTTTAAAATGTTTCTTTAAGTAATCCACGATTATGGCTCTGATAGTCCTTGAAAACTATTCTTTAAGAAATCCTCGATTTCGGCACTGATAGTCCTTGAAAAATGTTCTTTAAGAAATCCGAGATTATGACTCTGATAGTCCTTGAAAAATATACTTTAAGAGATCCACGACTATTGCTCGGATAGTCCTTGAAAAATATTACAAAAACATCTACGATTCTTACTCTGAAGTCCTTGAAGAAAATTTTTTAATAAAGTCTCGGTTTTTGCTCTATTGGTCCTTGAAAAATATTCTTTAAGAAATTCACTATCTCGGCTCTGATTGTCTATGAAAACTTTCTTCAAAAATTCACTATGTAGGTCCTAAAAAATATCCTTAAAACCCCATGATTATAGCACCGATATTTATTGAATATTATTCTAAATGATATTCCCCATTATTGCTCAATTGGTCTCTTAAGGTTTCCTCAAACATCCATGTTTACGGTTCTGCAGGTCCTTTCACAAACTATTCTTAAAAAGGCCATATTAAAGACACCTCAGTCCCTTAAAAATGTTCTTTACAAAGTACTGTAAAAAAGTCTTTAAAAATCCATGTTTAAGGTCCTTCAGGTTCTTTGAAAAAAACGCACGGTAAAAGCTTTTTGGGACCCTTGAAAAACAAATCTTAAAAATTTACGTTTCTAGCTCATGAAGTCCTTTGAAAAAATCTTTAAAAATCCAAGTTTAAGTACCTTCAGGTCCTTTGATACATATTCTTAAAAGTTATACGTTTCAGGCTCTAGAAATCTTTTAAAAATCTCTTCAGTTCCCTTGAAAAATATCACCTAAAGAATTTTCGTTTTGGACTCTTTATGTCCTCTGAAAACCATTTTGTTAAGGTCTACGTTTAAGGCTCTTCAGGTCATTTGAAACATATTCTTTAAAATCAACGTTTAAGGCTCTTCGGGACCTTTGAAATATATTCTTTAAAATCAACGTTTAAGGCTCTTTAGTCCCTTTAAAAAACATTCTTTAAAAATCCACGTTTAAGACTCTTCAAGTCCTTTGAAAAATATTTATTAAAAATCCACGTTTGAAGCTCTACAGGTCCTGTGAAAACTATTCTTTAATAATCCACGTTAAAGGGTCATCAGGTCCTATGAAAAATATTCTTTAAAAATCCAAGATAAAGGGTCATCAGGTCCTATGAAATATATTCTTTAAAAATCCACGTTTAAGGATCACCAGGTCCTTTGAAAAATATTTATTAAAAATCCGCGTTTAAGGATCATCAGGTCCTTTGAAAAATATTTATTAAAAATCTGCGTTTAAGGATCATCAGGTCCTTTGAAAAATATTTATTAAAAATCCACGTTTAAAGCTCTTCAGGTCCTTTAAAAATATTCTTTAAAAATCTACGTTTTAGGATTATCAGGTTCTTTGAAAAATATTCTTTAAAAATCCATGTTTAAGGATCATCAGGTCCTTTAAAAAATATTCTTTAAAAATCCACGTTTCAGGATCATTAGGTCCTTTGGAAAATATTCTTTGAAAATCCACGTTTAAGGATCATCAGGTCCTTTGAAAAATATTTTTTAAAAATCCACGTTTCAGGATCATCAGGTCCTTTGAAAAATATTCTTTGAAAATCCACGTTTAAGGATCATCAGGTCCTTTGAAAATATTTTTTAAAAATCCACGATGAAGGATCATTAGGTCCTTTGAAAAAAATTCTTTAAAAATCCACGTTTAAGGCTCTTCAGGTCCTTTGAAAAATATTCTTTAAAAATCCACGCTTAAGGATATTTAGGTCCTTTGAAAAATATTGTTTAAAAATCCACGTTTAAGGATCATCAGGTCCTTTGAAAAATATTTTTTAAAAATCCACGTTTCAGGATCATCAGGTCCTTTGAAAAATATTCTTTGAAAATCCACGTTTAAGGATCATCAGGTCCTTTGAAACTTATTCTCTAAAAATCCACGTTTAAGGATCATCAGGTCCTTTGGAGAATATTCTTTAAAAATAATTCTTTAAAAATCCACGTTTAAGGCTATTCAGGACCTTTGAAACATATTCTTTAAAAATCCACTTTCAAGGATCATCAGGTCCTCTGAAAAATATTTTTTAAAATCAACGTTTAAGGATCTTCAGGTCTTTTGAATCATATTGTTTAAAAATCGACGTTTAAATAGTTTCAGGCCTTTTGAAAGATATTCGTTAAAAATCCGCGTTATGTGATCTTCAGGTCCTTTGAAAAATATTCTTTAAAAATCCACGTTTAAAGATCTTCAGGTCCTTTAAAAATATACTTTAAAAATCCGGGTTATATGATCTTCAGGTCCTTTGAAAAGTATTCTTAAGTTTCAAGTCCTTTAAGAGTTTAGGTCTCTGTTTTCAATTCGTGTTATTCATTTTTTTTCGATGTTAGTGTTCCTTCAAATCCTATTTCAAATATTTTTTCTCCGTGTATATAAAATAAAATTCCCGTGTCAGCAGGCATCAGAATCTCCACACCCACAATTAAATATTGCCGGCATATAAAAACATTATTCTTAAAAACTTTGATGTAGTACTTGTCCTTAAGAATCCTTTAGGCTTAATTCTTTGATTTATGACCTGACAGGACATAAAATTTTATATACTACCAATAGGCTGCTATTGTTTTATGCGTCGGGCCCTTATCCTTGCCTGGTGTTGTGTTTTTTCCTCTCAACCAAAATTGTTGTCTTCCAATATAGGAAAGAAGGAGCACTCACACACACAGTGACACTCACATAGCCACTTTTATGAATGGATGTCCTTAA